ATACAGACACGAAATTCCATAAATTACTTTGAAGAAATGAAAGGGGACAAATGACAATAGACCCACATTTTGCAAGGGCCAAGAGATAACGTTCTATGTATATTTCTATATTCAATAAAGTCCATACAAAGACAAAGCCAACCAGAACCAAAACAAAACAAAAAGAATTCACCACCAGATGACTCAACACTTAGCATGCTACGGGGGGCGGGGGGGGGAAATTATGTTGAAGAGAAGCGACATGGAATAGAAAACTCTGAAGTTCCAGAATGACAAACACTGGAAATGGTAAATATGAGTGTGCATGGAAGAAGTTCTTTTTCCTCTTAGTTAAAACAATGGGGTGGGTGGGGAGGGGGAGAAATGGCTCATGGATTAAGAGCTCCAGCTGCTCTTCCAGAGAACCCAGGTTCAATTCCCAGCTTCTGCATGGCAGTCCACAACTGTCTGTAACTCCAGTTTTAGGGGATCCAACACCCTTACACAGATATACACATAGGGAAAAGACCATTGCACATAAAAAAAAATTAGTAATCTTTTTTAAAAAAGGAAATGTGGTCTTTTAAGAGAAATGCTATAATATTGCATAATGAACCTTATGTCTTGGTAGGTATAATTCATAGGGCAACTAAAGCCCAGAGGATAAAGGAAGAGGAGGGGAGTCGTGGGTAAAATGACTCATAAAGTTGCAAAGGTCATGATGAGGGCAATGTGTAAAATCACAGGGCTGCTCAGGAAGTGATGTAATATTACCACTAAGTAAACCAGAAAGGTTAAAACTGGGTATTATGATGCCCAGGCAATTCCTGCTCCTACCAAACAATATTTTAAAAAGCCAATGAGCTAGGGAGATCACTTAGTCTGAAAAGTGCCCGTCACACAGGAATGAGGACCACATAGAAGAGGCCAGCTGAAATGGAGCATACTTGTAACACAGTGCTGGCAGGCAGAGACAACACACAAGAAATAATAAAATGGTGTACTTAAGCTCAGTCATGTCTGTACTAACTTTAAATATACATAGTTTATCTGATTTCATTAAAAGTCAAGACAATCAGGGTGAATTTTTCTAAATCAATTTTCTCTGTCTACAAGACAATTTGTTTCCTTTAAAAATGTTTTACCCCGGGCTGGAGAGATGGTTCAGAGGTTAAGAGCACCGATTGCTCTTCCAGAGGTCCTGAGTTTAATTCCCAGCAACCACATGGTGGCTCACAACCATCTATAATGAGATCTGGTGCCCTCTTCTGGTGTGCAGATATACATGGAAGCAGAATGTTGTATACATAATAAATAAATAAAATCTTTAAAAAAAAA